ATTGTGCGCTGATTCTTAACAAATAAGTAGTTTCAAATGTATTTTGTCTTAAGATTTGTACATGTACAAATATATATTACAACTACAAGCGTTTTGTCATTGACAAAGATGCACATGTACAAAATGATACTGGTAGTACTGTTAAAGTCAATTAATTCTGCGTACATAATAAAGCTACCCTTGTAATTTGACGGCTCATATCGGCAATCGTACGAAACCAAAATTTACGTTACTTTTGCCGAATGTTATTTTGTTTTTATTTTAATTGAGAATAATAAGCTTGAAATCATTTGCAGATCTAGACAACACCGGTAACTGTTAGTAAGTACATTATGTCATTGAAAGGCAATATAGGTAAAATAATGTGAATTGTAAATGGTTAAATATATCGCTTGAAAAGGGTCTGAGGTTATCGGGTGCCATGTGCAAGTACAAATTGTCCAATTTAATTCAGTTATTTCTTATTTATAAACAAAAAATAAAAGCGCAGCAATGTATCACGTACCATACATAGAATTTTTGTAATTTTTACATTTTTACACTAGAAAAAATTCTAAGAAAAAAGATAGTTCTTGATGATAAATGCATTTTTGAGAGCAAATGACAATATTATAATCTGACTAAAAGAACGGCGTTTTATTATGTTTACTACATGTAATATGAATTTAATGTGTTTGACTTTAAATATTATTTTCATATTAACCTCATATTTTTTATTTTATGTTGTGATTATAAATTTTTCCTCTTCCTATTTTCTGTGTCAAACTTTCTTCATATCTTGATCACTCATAACATTCATTTCTGAAAAATCAGCACCGCTTTGTACATCAGTATACTTTTCGTTTTAATATAGTGCCTTCGTTAGCTATTTTGAAAATCAATGTTACGAAGTTTTTAAGAAAATGTTAAATTTATTGCAGAGGGTTTTCAATCCTTAATTAAAATTGAAAACCCCTAAATCATCTTTATTATGACACATTAAATAGTATAGGGTGGTTCTTGACTACCCCTGAGGTCACCCCATCCCCTGAAACTGAAAATAATCATATTTCTCGAAAACGGCCAGGTCGAGGGGTATAAAAGTTATTCAATTGTTATATTACACCAATATAAGACGAAACAATTTTTTGCAGGTCTACTTTCAATAATTGTATATATTTTGACGCGGTTTCCTCATATTTACCTTGGACAATCAATAGGGGGTGCAACTCAAAACACCAAAACACAGCTTACATGTTAAGTAAAGGTAATTTATTATAGTGTCCTAACAACCAATGTTAAACAACTCCTCTTGAGAGAATTTGAGAGAACACTATTTTATATGATTTCGAACGTCGGAGAGTTTTTCCTTAGAAATGTTCCCTGATCGGGATCGTTATTCGCTAGTGAAGTTGTTTGAGTTTTCGTCTGCAAAAGTAACCTTGTAAGTTTTTGCACCGCTTGTGATTGTCAGTAACTTGCATTTTTTATGAATTCAGAATTACCATTCCCCTTTATAATGAAAATATGCCTCAGAGTTTTACTGTATGAAAAAAACCCAAGTCTACCTTCCTTGAATTTGACATTGTAACTGGAATAAACGATAAATTTTATGCTGTATCTTGGGCCTATCGTATACTGTATCATGAAATACGGAAACAACGAACAGTATTTAAGGATATATGATACAAACCAAAAAATGGATGCCTGGATTGGTATATATTTTTGGACCATAGTTTGATTGTAAATGATGCAAATAAAAAATTTCTAAAATATTAAGAATTTGTAAACTTTCTATGATGTTCAAAATTCTACCGTTCTGCCCCCACCCTCCTGATTAATGTATACAATTTTTTGTCACTTAAAATCAGATCTGTGTGAATAAAAAATTAAAGTATTTGCGGTTGAACTTATTCATTTTACTTATATAAACATGATTACAGTTGTTATTTTCAAAATTTTTGATAAAAGTTTGTTTGTATCATCTGCTCTTAAGCTCATAGTCCATTTAAACAATACAAATCGGGAGCAGAGCAAACATAGACCTCCAAATACATCAGATGCGGAATCAGGTGTCATGGAGGAGTAAGCATCCCCTGACAACCGGTCACACCCGCTGTGTGCTCATTGTCATGATCGGACAAACGGAAAAATCCGTAGAAATTTCAGTGTGTAAATAATGGCCTAACAATTGCCATGAAAAACGTCAGTCAGCATTTGACCTAATGATAGCTTGTATTTGCTGATAAGGTCATTGTATCGTCCATAGAACTTGCCAAATGATGACTTCAAACGAGACTGTTAAACGTTGATATCTTTGTTTCCTCAATGTGTTGGTTAATAGCTTGCCTCGTTTCAAAAAATGATCGTAAATAAGCATGGTCTTGCATATCGAATCAACCGGGAGACATAAACTCCATATGCAGGTGTTAAGGGTATATTGCTGCATAAGTAATGGAAATAGTAAGTAATAGAAAAGTTGAAGTCATCACGTTTATCATAAAAGTTTGTTGCTAGGTTACTATTAACGTATTTTTGTAGTAAAATATCCAAATATGAAACAGTATTTGTGCCAGACTCTGTGAGGTCTTTTATTTCAAGTTCATAAACAGACAATGCGTACCGTATAATGGTATGGTTTTTTAAACCTACAATCATTACTGTATATATAAATTTTAATTTGAGAGGAATTTCGATTAACAGGTCATTATGTAGCGATCATTACTTATATTTTTGAAGAGCGACCCAAAACACCAATGTGCATAACTTATTCAAAAAACTATTTCTCGGAATTTTTTTTCACTAGAATTATCAAACTACACTTTAATTATCTACTGCAAATCAAACCTGCATCAATGTTCACATTTTTTTAAAGTTCTTAGATATGGCAATCTAGTCAGTTACATGTATGATTGAATATGAAACCCTCGTTTTGAAGAGCGACCGAAATTACCGATGTGCATTTTAACATATTCAAAATAAGTCTCCACTTTACAAAGATTTTTTCCCTAGAAGACTAAAAATTCCTGGGGAGTCCAGACCAACCACTCCACCACGTACCTCCCTAGATCCGTGCATGAGTCTTTGGCTGTCAGTATAATTATTATATAATTTATTGGCTATCGCATTTACAATGTATAAATCACGAATCAATCACATTCTATTAATAATTAAATAATAAAACATGAACTCTTATATAAACAATTCTGGTCACTGCCTGATTTATATCTGTGCCAAGTATATAACAATAATGATTTTCCGTTACATTCCGCTTTCCGTCATGTTTTTAGTTCCGTGTTTTAGCAACAACGTTCAGGGAAACACATTTTTATAGAAAAACATTGTTTTTTTTAAAACCCCATTCGCCCCAAGATGAAAAATCCGAAATTCCAAAATATAATTTCACATCTTCAGGACACTCCCAATCATATTCCAAAATATGACTTGGCTTCTGCGTAAAATGTAAGAGGCATATCATAATTTTTTATAACTGTTTTTCATAATTTTCTTAAGAATGATGAGTTTCAGTCATTACTAAAATCTGATTTTATGACAAGTAATCTTTCTTTTCAGACGAATTTCAGTCTCAACCCTTACTGATAATAATTCAAGTTCCGATAGTTCATCAAGGAGTTATACACCTATTCTCAATATATAGTGCCAAAATTAAAAAAAAAAAAATTATGTGAATTGAAACTAACATTTTCATCTGTCATCTGAAGCAGGAAAGTGTATACGAGGGTTGTTAGAAAAGTTCGCGGACACTGTGAGCACGCTATTTGTATGAAACAATTAAAATTCTACAGATAGAAACTATACGTATTTTCCAATAAATATGCAAAGAAAGTGTGATTTCCGATGTTCTTAAAAAAAAAAAAATCTATATTCTTTAGATAAAACATGCTTTGTTACAACTGAAGGATTAAAATTTTTGATGATCAACTCCCGCAATGCCCCAGTATCCTGCTTATTGCATGGACCTATGGGCCTTTGATTTTGCATTGTTTCCATACTTGACCGCTTAACTGCGTAGACCTTGATTTTAATATTTCAGATACGCAGCGAAAGACATTTTAGAAAACAAGTAACATATCTTGTTTTATTATTATTCAATTTTTAAGTCGGTAGAGCGCTCACTCTGTGATCGGAAGGTCGTGTGTTCGAATCACGGCCGCGACTGACCGAAGTCGATAAAAAATAGGTAGCAACTGTTCCTTCGCCAAGCGGTCGGCACTTTGACATTGCGGGTTATTCGGATGAGACCTTAAAATTCGAACTCACGACCTTCCGATCACGGAGCGAGCGCTCTATACCGACTGAGTTACCGTGACGGAAAAAAACACAGCATGAAGTATGTAATTCAAATTGTGATTTTTAATAACTATGCACTTTCATGTTTCAAATAAAATATAAATTTTAATTTCAGTTCACATAATTTTTTCTTACTTTTCCACAGGCCAATTTGGCATCATAAATTGAGAATTCGTGTATAATATATCTTATCATTGAAGTAAATGGGATGGAAGAATTAAAATATGATGATAATACGTCATATTAACAAAAATAATAAAAATGTTTACATCATGTACATGTTGCTAGTAGAATGACAATACACCATCATTTTTCAGTATGATGGATTTCAGTCTCACCCCTGACTGAGCATTATACAATAGTTCTAACTGTAAAATTTATTGCGGTGCTCAATGGAACCATTTGTTAACTATGTGTAACATTTGTCAAAATTTCAAGAACGGTATTTCGTGATTTTCATTTTTTTCTTCTATTCCCCCCTTTTTGTAGATCCTCCTTTTAATTTTTATAGTGTACATTTTATAACTATTCCCAAATGTTCGCATCATATCCTCATGCAAGAAACATAAACCTATTAATGTGAACTTATAAATAGATGATTCTTGGCCCAGACATATAGATAAGATACATGTGTATAATCCAGACACTCAAATATATAGTTTTCTTTTATTTCTGACTTCATAAAATAAAACAACAAGGAAAATTTTGTACATGAAAAATATAGTTGTAAAAAAATAAGTTGCCACAGTCTTTAAAAAAAGGGAATAATCCATTTTTTAGCCAATGTTTCTTGTGTAAAAGCAATGTTTTTCCTAGAAGAATAAATCATTTATACCATATTTATAAAAAATTATAAATCTGTATAAAGTTTGCCCAATTTCAAAATGATTTGACTTCGTTCTCTTCAACTGGTTTTTTACTAAATCAATAAACATTTTAAACAGCTAACGTTATAACAAAAACAAGTTTGATTCTTCTTATTGTGGTACAATTTGAAGTTGTAATCAATGAATAAAATGGCAATTGATGATACACAGACCCTAAAAGTCAGCTAGGGAGCTGACTCAATCTGCAATCACCCAATGCAGGGGAGGGACCACAGCCAGACCCTCTCTTCTTTGCATCTTAATTGTACCAAAGAATACATCTGAGGTAAGTTTCTTGCGATATCATTCCCAGCTTCAATTAATCTTTAGAGGGTCTCACATGTCATAAGTGTAATTTATAGCACGTCTTCAAAATATTGAAAAGTTGTTTGAAAACAATACATTTATAACTTGTATATTCCAAAGTAATTTTTTATTACCGAAGATTTGTCCAGAAACTTGTGTCCACTCTGAGAGAGGGGGCTGGCAATGCGATATTCAGGTTGCAAATCGAACACGCCCGCTAGGAAATTTGTATGATGTCTATCGGAGTCAGGTGACCCCCCAAACTTACTGAAAATGAGGTCAACATCTCCTGTCTTGGGCAACATGGGGTGATATTTGATTATACTTTGATACAGGGTTTCAACAGTGTCCTGTCCAGTGTGATCAAACGTCGTAGAGCTGTAGATGAAATACACGCCACGTGTTTTGATGCGCATGTGCGTACCATTCATGAGTTCAATGTCCTGTGCAAATGCTGTACCATACGAATCGTCTGCTATCCACCGCAGTTTGTTTTCTGCAATGGAGAAACAAAACTGAAATGTTTCGAGAATTGAATAAAATTTTATGAAATTAAACATCTGCGTTGTTTTGTCATGTTTGTTACAGGAATTATTTAAGAATATAAATTGCATAATCAACTCTAGATCTTCTGCAAAATAAAATATACATAATGTATTATTTAGTAAAAGAAAAAAAAATCATTTTTTTTATTATGAGTTATCTCTCTTTTTGTAGGATCAATGAACCTGAATGCCCTCTCTTTAATGTTGACAAAACATTCGCTGACCTTTTGTAACGGGATTCTCCCTGTCCAGGTAAAGGTGTGCTGAATTAGGTCTGTTTCTCCACCAGGTAAACGAATCCCTGATTGATGAATCATTTCCTGGGGAAAAAAAATAACTTATTTATAGACGATTGATGACAAAAGTTTGTAAACCAACTATCTCTTCATTTTCGTGAATCATCTTACAAATGAAACCAATCTCAGAGGTCCATAAAGGACAGTTCTAGAATTCTTATAACTGGGCCCTTTTGAAATAAAATCCTTGATCCGCCAATTATGACTTGCTTAAAAATTTCTACTTATGTGCTTAATTATATTTTTTATAACTCCAGAAAGCAAACTGTCAATTTATCTCATCTCTTCGAAACTGAAAGTAGGAGGCTAGGTGTAATGAAGCTCACCTTTGTCCTTGTCCTGATTTAGAGACTGAAAAAGATGGAAAAAACGCGGGTTTGAAAACGAAAGTAGAAACCGCAACTTTCCAAATCCTATATAAATTTCTGAAAACTTTCCGTCTTTAAATAGCTCACAGTAATGTGTTTATAATAACTTACCGCTTGTACAAAATCATGAATCACACTGTTTTTAATGCAGCATAACTTGTGTTGACAATCGGTCGTAACAATTTTCTCATAAAGTGTCTCGTTAACACTCACACCACTTCCCAAATAGTCACACGAAAAACAAACCGAGTCTTTTGTTTGTAACTCTCCATCGCCGCTTACATTTCCGATAATCGACTGTGGAGTGTCGGTTTTTGAAAACCGAAAGTATGTATCCACTTTTTCCCAGTTTAATGCAAGTAAAAATCCGAATACTATCGCTAGTAGTAGATTTACCAAGCAGGAAATTATCACTATTATTTTACAGTTTTGTCCTGAGTTAGTCATTTTCAATGATTTGAATTCACCACTTCGTTAACGGTGCTTCTTCTTATACGTGAATGTGGGTTTTTCCATTCCGTGTAGAATTAGCCCACTCTATTTATAAATGTCCATAGATTATAGAGTTTCCAAGGTTACTGTTGAAGAGGCAGGAAAAACGTCAGAAGTGATTTCACGCTTTGGGGAAATATTACAATTGGTGTATACATGTACATGTATTTTTAGAATTTTTGAAAGTGAAATGTGTCAGCCTAAAGCAATTTGACATCTTTAAAAAAAAAAAATAATAAGCATAAAATACATTGTTTCTTTGTTATATCCCCATCACTTGAATGAGGGAGGGGGTAACAATTTTAAGATTTTAAGCCGCACAGAGAAAGAAATTCAAAATACAATACATATAGGAGGTTTCTTGTTGGATAAAGAGGAAGAGCTTTGCTTAGGTAGGGTTATATATAATAATAACCATCTATCAATTAAAGATATTGAAATGTTCCAAGCCATGTACCTGTCTCTGATCAGATGACGGGTGTCCTAGATCTCTTAATTAACGGCACTAAGAATACAGATGAACCTATATGACGTGCAAGAATTTTGAAAATAAAAATAAAACACCAACAACAAAACAAAGACAAAACAAAGGAACAAGCTACATATATTCATAAGGAATAGAAAGAATTTTTGCAAGGTTTCCATGAATTGAAATAATAATGTCAGTGGATATAATACTTTACTTTCCAATGTAAACGATTTCTATATAACAAAAATATTAACATTTGCCCAAATTCTGTAATTACAGTGTAACATCCATACCGGTAAAATTCAAAACAAAGTTAACCTCTTAAATATTAATGAGGTCATTATTTGGTTGTCATAACGACAGAAGATGTGATGAATGTATCGATTAGGTGATAAAGGTCTTAATTCGAATGTCCTTGTTAATCCCCTGAAGTATGCTTACCTATATATACATATATGTATCAAGTCTTATCCGGAGGCAGAGTTATGGTAAAACTGAGATAAGTACATCGTAGGTGTCTATTTTTGTTATAAGTAAGTAAGTAAATATTTTATTAAAGTGACATGACTGTGACATTTGCAAATACAAATTACTATATAATTACAGAAGAGTGCGATCTAAATTACACCTGGCTCCGGGGCCATAAAACTTAGATGAGCTCACTTTTGATCTCAGTCTCACTTTTACAAAAGGAATATGTAGTGAAAAAGTGAGATTGAGATCAAAAGTGAGCTCATCAAATTTTTATGACCCCGGGGCCTGGCCTGTTGGACCTCTATGTCTTATTAACATACTTTATATAGCACACTTATATTTGCAAAAGATAGGGCGTGTGAAATTATTAAGACTAGTAAAATTTTTTGTCTTACTGAGTAAAATAAATTAAGGAATTTTGTACTTTGTCTTTGACTATTTTTCATTTCAAGTTCAAATAAATGTATAAGGGGATAATAACCGAGATGGAAACAAGACGAGTGATAGTTTTTGCGAAGGAGGTGACGTCACGGCTTATTCAAATTACCTCTTACCCCAGTGTCTATTTACTCCTATAAACCAAAAATAAATGCATTCTTTAAGAAGCAGGATATGATGGCATATATACTTTTCAGATAACTTTGTTGACTTGTCAGGTCATTATGTCGACTTGTCAGATCATTATGTTGACTTGCCAGATCTTTTTGACGACTTGTCATTTATTCACGTGTTTAACACGAAAAAGTGTCCATTGCTAGTTTGTGCTATCCAGTTGTCAACATGAACATATTTTTCTGACAAATCGACTATAGGATCTGACAACTCATAAATATCTGTCAAGTCGACATAATAGACGACAAGTCGATCAACATATTTTATTTGACAAGTTGACAAAACATGCGACAAGTTGACTTGCCAGATAAATAAATCATATCGACTTGTCAGAAAATTATGTCGACTTGTCAGATATTATGATGCTAAGTAGACGTCAGCTAGTGGCATTAACAAGTTTTAATATCAAGATACCGAGTTCCTAGTCATGAGGATTATTATCTGACAAGTCGACATAAAGATATATGGCAAATCACATAATTTTCTGACAAGTGGTGACAGAAATGTGCCACCTTAGCAGGAACTTTTTCCCTAAGAGTTGTCTTCTGATACAACGGAAAAGCAAATAGGGCTATCTTGAGGTTATTTTGAGAATACTGAGAACATTACATTGTAATTGCATCGATATCTTAAAATAGTTTCCCTGAATTGAAAATTGTGTTTCCTATCTTAAGAAAATGGAAGATTCAATGGGAAATATTTTTTATTGACGGGACGCAAAAATATCATTGTATTTATTTTTCCTTGTTTTATTTTAGCACACTAATATATATAGTATTATATAATATTATAGAGAGAATATTCAATGTTCTGAAGCTGGGAGTGGAATTTATTTCACGAGTGGGAAAAACTGTTTTTTTTTTTAATTTTGTATTTCCACGAGTGCAAAGTAAGAGCGAAAATTATTAAATAAATCCTCTCTCGCAAGTTTAAGTCTGCCATGATGCTTTGTTCATTTTTGCGATCTTATAACAGACCAGGGGGTATTTTTACAACACTTTTATGAAGGAAGGGAGAACTGAGAGTTTTGCCGCACTCCTGATGTTCTTTCACACTGTGACAAAATATCACTTTGATATTCTTTCACACTTTGACAAAATATCACTTAAACAATAAATGAGTTACAGTACTGTAGAAAAGATGAATAAACAGTACTTGTACATATATATGTATATATTAAAGTACATGTTTTTTTTTTTTTTTATTTCACTGTGTTTAACAACGTAATTTAATTAAGTATATTATGTCCTCATTCTCTGAAAAAAGATGGATCGACTCATTATATTTTCGTATGTTGTCCTCTCTCTCTCTCTCAGGCATTATGTCAAGCTGTAACTTTCAATAGAGAGAATATTCAAACTTAAGCATATAATTCCGTAATACAAACATCACAATGAGATTGGAGGAAATTTACATTCTAATATTACGTGATATAAGTGCATTTAGATCTTACCATTAATCCTATTAACTTGCAGTTTTTAAAAGTTCAACGACTTCATCAGAACTTTTACCATATACTATAAAAAGCCGACATTTTTGAAATGATATTTATTAAATGGTTTGCTAATAAAAGCAATACAATCGCATTCCTCAAAATACAAGCATAAGGATATTTTTTCAACATAAATTTAAAAAAAAAAAATGAGACTGTTGTATTCATTATAAAGCTTTCCAAAAACTCTTTCCATTTGACAGGAAATTACAACATGTAACCTATGACAATATCTCGACCGCACACATTCAACCAATCAACAATCTGGATTTATTTTTTTGAAATCTGATTTTGTGAAATTGGCGATATTATAATACTTGACATTGAGCACTTGTCACGTACAGTTCAGGATGGAAATCCAGTTTAAGCATAATAATGAGCTACACGTCACGTGCTCTTTATATCAGTCCCCCTATCTACTTCCTTGTCAAATTAACCTTAGTGAATGAATGGTTGTGTCACTCTGCATTTTGTTTAATTAAATGAAAATCGAGCTTTTCTCTAAATAATTTTGACCATTTTTTTGTAATATTTACAGACACAAAAACATATGCGCAGACACATCGGCAGAAAAAAAACATATAGAAAGTTACAATATAATACAATACAAAAAGATCTGATGAGAGTATTTTTGAAATAAAACAAATAAATTACAAGTAACAGCTATAATAATTCTCATAGATGCATATTCAGAATAAACATATTATAACCTTTTTGGGTTTAAACATTAGGTAATGTATCACAAAGTACCACACTCACGTGCACATTACTTTTTCAAACACACATTTTATCATTTTTAATGTATAGGTAACATGTTAGTTTGAATAAATTGACATTACTGTTTTAGTGTTGCAAAAATAAATAAATTAAATAGATACGTTATGTTTCACAAAGAAATCACAAAGTTTATATGTAGTATAGTATAAATTATAACTGCTTGATAAGCGAATTAAATCTCAAACTTCAGCATGAAAGTAAAATGAAATCATATTTTTATAGCAGCTATTTTGCGTCAGTTTCAAATTTTTCATCAGTATTATAAATGCATAAACTATATATAAATTTATGAATAAATTAAATTATTGTATTGGTTGCTAACAACTGTTTTACTTGTTTGGTTACAAAGAAAAACGTCATAACAGTTAAACAAAGCAATAAGTTAACACTGTTTTGGTTTACATAGCTTCACACATTTGAATGATATGTATATATATTTTATTACAAAATCAATCCAGATTTGTACTCAATGAGATCGATATTCCTGAGTGAACATAAAATAATTTCAAGGAGATTTAACATTATGTCATAAATAGTTGGGAAAATGTTTCTTTTCGTAATATACCAGAAAAACACAATTAACACTCGAGGCTTAATTTAACCGCAAGAGGAAAACGGCATTTATATTTATACAATTCCTAACATATCTTTTGAAAAAAAAAAGATGTATAAAATAGTCATACCTTTTATTTTTAATATTGAGTCATTTTTTCCCTTTTTTTTTATTATCTAATAGATATTAATCATGTTTTTATCGGGGCGGTATGGATGACACTTTTAAAATAAACGGAGAAATTCCGTTAACACATTTATTTACCTACATGTAAGAGTACCTTCTTTTCCAACATGAATGAAATTTTCAAACAATTTCAAAAAAAAAAAAAAAAAAAAAAAAAAAAAAAAAAAAAAAAACAGAATTACTTTTTAAAGTTTTCTTGGTGTCCTTCTGTATGTGGAAGGACACAGGAGGAGTATAATACATTCAGTTCATATAATTTAAATTCCAGTAGTTTGATTTAATAAATGATATACGTACTTCTAGAAGCTGAATGTTGTTGCAATAATTTCGCTGGTGTAGTATCATATTTTTTTTCTTTAAATGGGAATGAAGAATACCTATTTTATCAGTTTTTAAGATATAAAATGGAACTAGTGATCAGTTTT